TTATCTGGACAAAGAAGGAAACCGGAGATCCTCCACATTTTGTTTGTTCATCTTTATTTCTCTCCACCACAAAACTAAACAAACAAAACTCGCTGACTCGAGATGCTGAACAACTTGTTTCTAAAGCAGCTCCAGTTCCTGGACAGTGAAGATACTTAGAGAATCTCCAGGTTTAATAATCAATGATGACAAAAGAAATCACAGAAATGATAAAAAAAAAAAAAAAACTTTCCTCAGAGAAAGAAATACTGGAGGAGAGATGAACACGTTATCTCAATGAGCCCAAAAATCACAAAAAGAGAAATGACTCTCATGAAATGTTTCTTTAGCTCCATAATTTAGATTTAAGTAAACTGTCCTTGTCTCCGGCTCTGAGGGATCTGGAAGGAACCATCTGAGTCTAAACCTGGATTTTAGTCAGACTGAACATTTTATATATTTTCTGGTTAAAAACAAGAAGCATATACCGTATTTTCATGACCATAAGGCGCACCGTACTAAAAGGCGCAGTCTCAGTTATGTGTGCCATTTCTGTATTTAACACACACATAAGGCGCACCGGACTATAGGGCGCGGGTTTTATATACCGGTACATGTCCTCTACTATGTCTAAATACCTCTACTGCGTATTTAAAAATAGAGCGGGAGCAAAACTGACTATGTTTGTGCTTTATTCATGTATTTATTACAAAGTATTAATCAAACGCATCATCCTCTGTTTCTGAATTAAACAGCTGCACTAAAGCAGACATGCCAATTTCCCATTCTTCGCTGTCAGAGTAACTTTCCGTGCAGCGCGGCTCCTCGGAAATAATGCCGGCTTTTGCGAAAGCTCGAACAACAGTGCCAGCAGACACGTTAGCCCAAGCATCAACAATCCATCCGCAAACGGTGCTGCCTTCCACTTTTCCTGAAACTGTGGTCTCCGTCCGCTCGCAGCCTTACTTTGAACTGCCGGTTCACACCGATGTCGAGCGGTTGAAGTTCCTTTCAGACCTCCCGGAATAACAGCGAGCACAGCGTTCATTTGTTTCACCTTGTGTCCTCCAACTCGGGCCACCTAGCCTTATGTCCGCGGAAACTCAGCTGCGTCTTCTTCACCTGTCGGAGTTTGTTTTCCATCTTCCTCCACTTGCGAACCATCGATTCATT